GTGATGAACTTCTTGTTTATGTGAATACAAATTGCTAGTTAAATCTTTATTTGTTCAACTTCGTGTTCGTTGTAGTTAATTGACAGGATCCTCAATTAGCTGTGCCTATTTAGTGTGCATAACTTGGAAAAGAGTGCATATTTAGGGTATTGTTGAACAACACCACTCCTAGATTATTAGAGGAATCTATAATTGCGGGTTTAAAGGCGGGATTAGGAATAACGAAGCCTTGGGTGCAATTTAAATTGAATTGTGCGAAATTAAGCAAGCTAGTGTATCTCGAGAGAGTGCAATAGTAGATTACTGTGATTACTCGGGAGAGATTTGCGGTAAGATTAGCGTTCATGATTGATAGAGATGTGTGGGTAAATTTGTATGAGCATAAACAGAAGGGATTTCATCAATAGGGGAAATCATTTCCTTAGCTTTTTTTTCATAATTGTTTACAACCCTTCTAATTTAGTTATAGCCTTTTATTTACTTGCAAGTTAGTTATTAAAGAACAATCAACTGAGAATTTGAATATTTGGGAAGCTGGTTCTGAAGACTTGGTGGGTCTGAAGGTAGCAGTTGATAGGTTAACTCTCTATGGGATTCGACTCCGGACTTGTAAACCGGATTATATTTGCAGCGACCGCATTGTCCTTTTATACGGCATAGTTGGGCGTGATCAAAAATCACCTAGCAGAAGGCCTTCCTAGCATTGAGAAAAATCTACCTGCTTGTGAAGCTTGCCTGTATGGAAAACAAACTAGGCTTCCTTTTCAGAAGTCATCTTGGAGGGCAAAACAGAAGCTGCAACTTATTCACACAGATATAGGTGGACCTCAAAAAACACCATCTTTGAAGGGCAGTAAGTACTACATTGCCTTTATTGATGATTGCACCAGATATTGTTGGATTTATTTTTTGAATTTTAAATCTGAGGTTGCTGGTGTATTTTGGAAATATAAGGCTTTGGTGGAAAATCAGAGTGGCTGCAAAATTCATATGGTAAGAACAGATAATGGAACTGAGTATACTTCGGAAAAATTTAACAAGTTTTGTGATGAAGCAGGAATTGAGCATCATCTAACGGCACCATACACTCCTCAACAAAATCGAGTAGTAGAGAGGAAAAATAGGACCTTAATGGAAATGACAAGGTGCTTACTCCATGAAAAAGGGTTACCTAAGTAATTTTGGGCAAAAGCTGCAAATACTGCAGTATTTTTGCTAAATAGATTGCCAACAAAAGCTTTGCAGAAGAAGACTCCCTTTGAGGCTTGGTTTGGTTACAAACCTATGCTAACAAATCTGAAAGTTTTTGGTTGTCGTTGTTTCTCTTATGTACCTTAGGTGAAAAGAGATAAGCTAGATAAAAAGGCTGAACCTGGAATTTTTGTAGGATACAACAGTATCTCAAAAGCTTACAGGATCTATCAACCTCAAAATGACAAAGTCGTTGTTAGCAGGGATGTCAAGTTCTTGGAAAATGACACCTGGAACTGGAAAGATGGTGAAAAACTGAAAAATCTAGAGTTTCTAGATGAAGATGTTGATGATGTACCTCTCTGGGGCACAAGACCACTTTCTGATATATATCAAAGGTGTAATGTTGCTATTTTAAAACCTACAAGATTTCTAGAAGCTGCCAAAGATGAGAAATGGAGGATTACAATGCAGGAGGAGCTGAAAATGATAGAAAAGAACAACAAATGGGAGCTGGTTGATAAACCATCACACAAGAAAGCTATTGGAGTCAAGTGGGTCTATAGAACCAAGCTCAACCATGATGGTTCCGTAAACAAATTCAAGGCCAGACTAGTTGTGAAAGGATATGCGCAAATGTTTGGAGTGGATATTTCAGAAACTTTCGCTCCTGTTGCTCGCTTGGATACAGTGAGAATGCTAATAGCTTTATCAGCTCAACATGGATGGAAGATCCACCAACTTGACGTGAAATCAGCTTTCCTCAATGGTCACCTTGAAGAAGAAATCTTTGTAGAACAACCTAAAGGTTTTTCTGTGAAAGGTAAAGAAGACAAGGTATATCTGTTAAAGAAGGAGTTATATAGTTTGAACCAAGCTCCTAGAGCTTGGTATAGTAGGATTGATGCTCATCTTCTCAGTTTAGGCTTTTAGAAAAGTTTGAGTGAGTCCACATTGTATATCCGGAAGGAAGAAACAGATTTAATTATTATCTCTCTATATATTGATGATTTATTAGTTACAGGTAGCAGTTCATACTTAATCAGTCAGTTTAAGACTGAAATGAAGGAGGTCTTTGAGATGACAGACCTTGGTGTTCTACTTCCTTGGGATGTAAGTTCAGCAAAAACAAAATGAGATTTTTATATGCCAAAGAAATTCTGAAAAAGTTCAAAATGGAGGATTGCAAGCCTATAACGACTCCTATTAATCAAAAGGACAAGTTTTGCAAAGAGGATGGAGCTGAAAAGATTGATGAAAGACTTTACAGGAGCTTGATAGGTTGCCTGGTGTACTTGACCGCAACGAGGCCAAATATTGTTCATTCTGTGAGTTTACTTTTGAGGTATATGCACTGTGCCAGCAAAATTCATTTTCAAGCAGATAAACGTGTTATTAGATATGTCAAAGGTACTGTTAATTTTGGCTTCATGTTCAAAAGAGCTTGAGACTTTCAGTTTCATGGATATTCTGATAGCGATTGGGCGGGCTGCTTAGATGATATGAGAAGCACTTCAGATTATTGTTTCATCTTTGGTTTTGGTGCATTCTCTTGGTGTTCAAAGAAGCAAGATGTAGTTGCTCAATCTACAGCTAAAACAGAGTATGTTGCAGCTGCATCAGCTGTGAATTATGCTCTTTGGGTTAGGAAACTGCTGGCAGATTTGTACATGGAGCAAAAGAAGAGCACTGAAATCTTTGTTGATTATCAAGCTGCAATTTCTATTGCAAATAATCCCGTGTTCCATGGGAAGACAAAACATTTCAAGATCAAGCTTTATTTCTTAAGAGAAGTGCAAAAGAATGGGGAGGTAGCTTTAGTATATTGCAAAAGCGAATTTCAGATTGCTGATATTTTAACTAAGACTCTACCTAGATCCATATTTGAATTTCTTACATAAAAACTTGGTGTTGCTTCTCTTGAGTCAATGAGGAGTTTTGAAATTACTGCCTCAACAGCTGGAAATTTTGCATAACTGCTGAAGTTCAAAATCTGCTCAAAGCAAGGAAGTTGTTGAGATAAATAAGCCTGAAACTGTTAGCAGAATCTTATCTTTCTGTTGCTATTTGTTAAAATATAGCTGTTAGGGATAATCTGCAGCTGATTTTTCTGCTTTTCTTTAGAGCTTTTCAGTTATAAATTCTTGTATAAATATGGCTTTGATTATTGAATAAAATATAATGAGCAGTATATTCATATCTCCTTTATTCCTTTGCTTATATCTTGCTTTAAATTCCAACACATACATTAGTGCTAAAGCGTATAGATGAGATAGTACATAGTTTTGCTAACCCAAAGTAGGAGCCAAAAGGATAAGTTCCTCTATGGTCAATTTTTGAAGATGCAAAGCAATTGTCTACTTATCATATTTTCTATTTTATGGCTATGTTTCATTCATCCTTTTTGCCGTTTTTCTTTTTCCTCAAACATTTTTGTCGAACAGAATTAGAGTGAAGCATGGCATGATGAGCGAGTAAGACTGATTAATAGCATGTTTGGCCAAGATGTAAATATCAGCTTATTTTGAGAAGTATTTTTTTTCAAAAGTATCTTTAGTGAGAAACAGTTTGTATTTGGCTAATTAACTTGAAAAGTACTTCTGAGTAGCAATTAGTGTTTGACCAAACTTTTAAAAACTGCTTCTAAGTGTATTTTTCTCAAAAGTGCTCTTGGAGAAAAGCTACTTTTTTTCTGCTTCTGTTGTGACTAAAATAGCTGACTTGGAAGCCAGCAAAGCTGCCACAAAGGATGGTCACATGGATAAGACACGTAGGAGTTTCAGAAGAGTTATTCCTCCAAAAAGACTTGGAGATTACGTTTGGAAAGGTGATGGTCACGCGAATAAGGACAAAGTTGATTAGGCAAAAAGAGTATAAAGCAACAGGAAAAAGGGCATTAAGGGTTAGACCAATATTGATATGAGTTTTCTCTGTTTTCTCCCTCTTTTCTTCTAGTTCCTCATCTCCTTCTTTAGTTATCTATTTCCAGTACTTCTACTGTAATTTTTCTGCTTTCAGTCACAATTGGATTATCAGCAATTGTAATTTTGAGCTAAGTTCCTATTAATATAGTTTGGGAGGTTTTGGTTACTGTTTCATTACTGAACTTGTTACATTGGTGCTTTCATCCAGAGGTCTTCCATGGATGACCAAAGACTCAAGTCTCGTTGAAGAATCTGTTCAGGCAGCATCGAATTCGTTCGCTAAGGACATTGGTGATATACGTTCGATGTTGATGGAGGTTATGGGGAGAACGGCTATGCCCGCTGTTATAAAATCAGATCCAACTATGGAGGTCACTCCGGCGATGATTCACCGCCACAAGCCGGAGATTGGTCGGTTTTGCAGTGAGAATCCAGAGGCATGGATTTTTCAGGTGGAGCGCTACTTCGTATTTTACAAAACATCAGAATCGGAGCAACTAACCATTGCATCCTTTTACCTCGATGGAGAGGCACTGGAATGGTACCGGTGGCTTTTTCGAAATAAACAATTGGTGGACTGGGACCACTTTGCAGCGAAGGACAGAATTCGTTTTCGACAAAAAAGATTGGAATCGGTAGAGGGACGGCTGGCGAAGCTCCGTCAAACCACCACCGTATCGGAGTTCCAGAAGCGGTTTGAGACCCTTGCAAATGAAACAGGCGACATGACTGATGCTCGTATGGTACGTATTTTTATTTCTGGGCTTCCTGAGGATATTAAGAATTCTGTATTGGTCCATAGGCCCAAAACTTACGAAGAGACCCTTGATTTGGCCCATATCCATGAGCATCGAATCCAAGCTGAAAAGGGACCTGCCCGACCCGCCTTTGCTCGAACAACCTCCATATTGCCAACCCCTAACTTGGCTCCCCTAAATCAAAATACCTCCACCTCCCTCACCACTAATGCTACTGCCTCCCAAACATCAAATCGTCCTCTTATTAAGCGGCTATCTCATATAGAGGTCCAGAGCCGTCGTGAGCGTGGGTTGTGTTTCTACTGTGAGGAAAAATTTGTACCAGGACATAAGTGTAAGACTCCATCCCAGCTTCTCTTGCTCACTAATGAACCTGATATTGACCCTAAATTGTCGGAACCTGTCGCCTCTGATGATTTTATTGCGGAGGAGCTGCAATGTTTGGAACTACAAGAACCTTCGTCAATTTCTTATCATGCTTTAACTGGAGGTATTTCGCCATCGACTCTGAGATTTACAGGCCAAGTCAATGGTACTCCGGTTCAGGTCTTGGTGGACGGAGGAAGCACACATAACTTCATCCAACCTCGAGCCGCTAAGCACCTCCAGCTTCCTATTGAGTCGGTTCCAATTTTCTCAGTTATGGTGGGTAGTGGACAGCGCCTTCCAAGTAATGCAGTGGCGAGGCAAACCAATATGGTAATCCAAGGGCATACACTAGTGGAAGATTTATATATCTTGCCATTCCATGGATCCGACATAGTGCTGGGAGTGGCATGGATGGCCACCTTGGGGCCGGTAATTACAAATTATGCAACCAGGGAATTCGGGTTTACATTGAATGGGTTGCGAACAACTTGGAAGGGAGATTGTCCGACGGATACCCAAGTGATACAGTTGCATAGCCTACGAAGAATGGCCGCCACTGATGCCATATCTTCGTTCTTTAGGCTAGAGATGGTTACAGAGGAGGTACCTGATACAAGGGAAGCAGCTGTGGAATTGGTTGCTCTCTTGAGTAAGTTTGAAGATGTATTCCAGAGACCCACAAGCCTTCCTCCCTCGCGTGACCAGGACCATCAAATCCATCTTGCACCCGGGGCTCAACCTGTGAATGTAAAGCCATATAGATATCCTCATTTTCAAAAGCAGGTAATGGAGCAGCTTGTTGCGGATATGCTTCGAGAGGGACTGATACAACCTAGCACAAGCCCTTTCTCTTCTCCAGTACTGCTGGTACGAAAGAAGGATGGGACATGGAGGTTTTGTGTAGACTATCGGGCCTTGAATGCCATTACCGTCCGTGATCGCTTCCCAATTCCAACCATTGACGAATTATTTGATGAACTACATGGCGCTCATTATTTCTCTAAGCTGGATTTATTATCCGGATACCATCAAATAAGAGTCAGACCCGAGGATGTGGCTAAGACAGCTTTTCGGACCCATGATGGACATTATGAATTTTTGGTAATGCCGTTTGGGCTAACTAATGCTCCCTCAACGTTCCAAGCCACTATGAATGAGGTATTTAGACCCCACTTGCGTCGTTTTGTGCTGGTATTCTTTGACGACATCCTAGTTTATAATCCTTCCTGGGTTGCTCACTTGGAACACCTAGCTGTAGTATTACATTTATTGTGCCAGCACCATCTAGTGGCCAAGCGCTCTAAGTGCTTGTTTGGGCAAACTTCTGTTGATTATTTGGGGCACATTATCTCAGCCCAAGGATTGTCTGTTGACCCCGCCAAGATTCATGCTATTCAACAATGGCCTCCACCCCATTCAATCAAGGAAATTCGTAGCTTTTTGGGGCTAGCGGGCTACTACAGACGTTTCATTCATCATTATGCTGCAGTAGCTGGACCCTTATCAGATTTGTTGCGCAAGGATTCCTTCCGATGGGGAGAGAAGGAACAACAAGCCTTTGATACTCTTAAGGATAAGTTGGGGTCTACACCTGTTCTAACTTTACCAGATTTTAGCCAAGAGTTCCAAGTCGAAACTGATGCATCGGGGCAAGGAATTGGTGCTATTCTTTCCCAACGGGGTCATCCCATTGCATACTTCAGTCAAAAATTAAGCCCCCGAATGCAGGCCGCTTCAACTTACCACCGAAAAATGTTTGCTATTACTCAAGCAGTGATAAATGGAGACAATATCTTTTGGGATGCAAATTTACCATCCTTACGGATCAGCAATCTTTAAGGAACCTGACCACTCAAACAATCCAAACACCTGAACAACAAAAATGGCTCACTAAGCTGGTCGGCTATGACTTTCGAATTTCTTACAGGCCTGGAAAATAGAACTCTGCAGCTGATGCCTTGTCTCGCCAGTCAGAGGCTGCTTTAATGGCTCTTTCAGTCCAAACTCTTCACCTTGAACAAGATTTGAAGCAGTTAAATCAAACCCACCCTGAATTGATTGCGATTCAACAAGCAGTACACCAAGGAGATTTGGCATATGCTGAGTACCAGTTCAAGGAAGGCCTGCTGTTCTACAAGGGTCGACTGGTGATTCCCTCAGATGCTGCTCTTCGCCAAAAATTAATCTATGAGTTCCATGCTACATCTATTGGTGGTCATGCTGGGATCGCGTGCACTTATCATCGTCTGGCTTCTAATTTCTTTTGGAGGCAAATGCGCAAGGATATACACACGTTTGTCGCTGTGTGTCACATTTGCCAACAGATGAAGGATTCGCATATACACCCTGCAGGTCTATTGCAACCCCTGCCTATCCCGGATCAGGTCTTTGAAGATATTGCTATGGACATCATCACTTGCCTGCCTAGTTCCAGAGGGAAGACCACTATTATGACTGTGGTCGACCGTCTCACCAAGTACAGCCACTTCATACCCCTACCTTCGACTTTTTCATCTCATACAGTGGCTGAAGCTTTTGTGGTAGGTATAATCAGGCTCCATGGGCCTCCTCGCACCATTGTGACTGTGAGCACATGATTTTTGCCCTAAGCAAATTATTCCCAAAGTTCAAACAAAATGATTTTTTTTGTTTTTCTTATTATTACTATTTTTACAATTTTGGTGAATCTTGGTGTCATTTTGTGCTAATTGTTTGCATTTTATTTGTGCATGTTTATTTCGTTTTAATTAAATGGAAAAATACAAAATATACGTGCATATGCATTTAGGACATTTTTTTTAATTAGTAATTAGTCATTTTATAAAAAAAAAAAAGAAAATCACAAAAAAAAATTGTTGTTTAATTTGCACCTTTAATTTTAACTTTGATTTTAGGTGGTTTTTCTTTCAATTTGTTTTAATTATCTGTGATAATTATTTTTTAGGATTAATTAGCATTTTTGATAGGTTAATTTGGTTTTATAATTTAATTTAGATTTTAGTTTAATCTTGAAAAAAAAAAAGGGAAAGAGGAAAAATTGTGGAAATTAGATTGAAATTGGGTTTGTCTTGATTAAATTCCCAAACCCATCCCAAATTCCCCAAAAAACCCGTCCAAATAGCCCCATGCCTGGCCCAAGTCCACCCCAAGCCCGATCCAATGTCCCCCATCCTAAAAAACGACACCGTTTGGTTCCAGTTAATCTCAGCCGTCGAGGTAAAGAGATCCAACGGTTGAGAACTGATGAGGTGTTAATATATAAGTGTCCGAACCTCTACCCCCCCACCCCTCTGTCTCTCTCTCTCACCCCATCTCTCAGAGACCCTAGAGCCGCCGGTATAACACCACCGCTACCCCGCCCCTCTCCGCCATTCTCCACCCTAGCGCCGCCGGCCGGAAATCGCCGCCGGCGGCGGCGAAGCTCCAAATGACCCCAAAATTTCACCACAAACTCATCTTCCCCTCCTCTTTCCAACCCCCATAGCCATTCCATTCGAATCATAACCAATCGTTCCGAATATTAGATCGAAATTTCCGGCCAAAACACAACTTTGCCCAAACCACCCCAAATTAACACCACCTAACCGCCTTCACCTTCTCTTTCAAACCCCCTAAGCCCCGCCCCTCGAATCTGACCCGAGCATCTCGAATATTGGACTGAAATTTTCCGGCCAAAGTTCAAAGTAGCCTAATCGAGCCCAGATTAACACCATAGGACCGCCTGGTCTTCCCCTATCAGACCCCCATGGACGTTCGGTTCAAATGTGACCGGAATGGTTCGAATTTCAATTTCAAAGTTTTCCGGCGGAACCCTAGATAAGTTTTTCTTCAACAGTGTCCTTTCTTTGTTTATTTTGTTGTTTGCATGTGTTTAGTCATCAGTTGCCTTCTTGTGTTGCTTATTAGTTCTGATTTTTAGCAATTAGGTTAGTTTCAGTGGCCTTGGCGCATAATTCTGACTTGGTTAATTTTCTTTGTTTCATCATCCTTGACTGATTTGATACTGCTAGTTTAATTGTCATCTTGACCTGATGTTATTAAATGTTCAAATGATAGCCTTAAGTCATAGAACTTTCTGTTATTTGGATGTTAATTTGTTAGTTCAACTTCTGTTTATTTTGATTAGGTTAATTCTGTTTTTCTGATTAGTATTA